TCTACACATCGCTGGCGGAGTGATGAAACCTCATAACCCCAGAAAGGAAAATTTTACAGGAGAGACAAAAAAAACTGATTTATTCTTGAAAAATAATGATCTATATGAACCAAAGTTGGTACATGTACAGATATATAAGTGAAAACACCTTAGAGACGCGGTTACGTTACTACTGTTTCAATTTTAATGGTTATGCCGTGGGATGCGAGGTTTCATTACAAGTCGGCCGGCAGGAGGGTTGCGAGGTTTCATCACGACAGAGTTTGAGGTTTGCTGAGTTTTCTCGCTGCTCATTTGGTTGCAGTACAGTAGTCTCCGCCTAAACGCACGGTGCTCGGGAGGGCTCTTCAGCGTGTGTTTATACGGAGCGTGCATTTTCATGAACCTTTGCAAAGGGAGGAAGGGACGCAGTCATTTCATTGCCTTGATATTCTAGTGACCTCCCTTTGGGGTGAGGGTCACTTTTTCCCGATAATGTGACGACACGTGACTGTTTTGTGAAGGATTCCCCGACAGCGGTTAGGGATAGGGTTAGGGTAATTCTGTTCGCCAAGGGTGCACTTTTGCGAAGAGGGCGCCACCGAATTTTGAGGACACTTTTTTAATTGGCTCAAAGAGAGAAGTGGCCCCTCTTGTTATGTAGACTCTTTGGTAGTAGTAGTAGTATAGGGTTTTACGGCACTCGCAACTGCATAAGGTCATATGAGCGCGCGAAAAACAAGTTAGTTTTTGTTCACAACAGTTTACTGTACGGCTGGCTCGGGTCAGTAGTTAAATCTTAAAATGTTAAAATGTTTAAAAATCAGTGTAGATATATATTTTTTTTTTCGATCTACAACAATTTTCCTAGTTAACATAAAAAAATTTTAATAGTACAATTTCACTTTATAATTTGCCATAAAGGCCAATGGCCTTCATAAAATTCAAGATTCTGCTGGGACCAACGACGGAAGAAATTAAATCTATTTCAATGTCCCGAAATTCACAAACAAAACAAAAAAGTATTATGTCAATGGCCCTAGGCCAGAACCCTTGCACTGTAATAGTGTAAATAGGTGAGTAAACCCTACGAGAGTTAGAGGGAGATATCTTAATAATAATATTATTATTATTATATTACTGACTCATTCCCCGTCATAGCATGCCCGTGACGTGATATAACTGTCTTCGAACTCACGGGCCACAATTAATTTCCCCTTGAGTCGATCTCTCTTCAAAATTCACTATTTTTGATTTTCGAAAGTTGGCAGGTCTGAAACTGGTTCGCAACTGTTGTCTGCTAGCGCCGAAGAAAGCTGTTCTGTCGCTCCGTAAAGTTAACAAAGTCCGTAGAACGTTGTAAATCTAGACCTAGGTAGATCTATTAGATAGCCTGTCTATCTAGGCTAGTTTGTGTGAAAGCGGGTGCGACAAAAATAGATTGTGCTGGTCCCCTCTCGCTCTCTCATTAGGCCTACACCTAATGTGTGTGTGGTGAAGGCATCGCGCGACGGTGAAGGTGGAGCAGGTGTGTGCGGGTGTGTGGGTGTGTGGGTGTGAGGGTGTAGGCCTGTCCCCGTAGGATTATGTGATTGAGCGGCCGCGTTTTTTCGCGTAATTCTGCAACATTTGCATAATTCTGGATTATCCGCGTTTTTTTCCTTTTTTTCACAAAACAATTAATTAACGCCGCGTCATATGACTAAAGGGACGTAATCACCGTAATAACTCTCATTTAAGTGAAAAGTTGGTTATCTCCCTTGTTAGAAGATCTTGGTTTATTTATGGGTTGTGATTTTCTTCCTTGAGCATGTTCAATTTTCCAATCCATCAAAAGTTGTTGTTCTCATGTCTGCTCTTTTTCTTTTTTTTTTTTTACATTTTTCTTACCTCTAGATCTAGCTGAAAGTTACAGAGATTGTTATTTTTTGTCATTTTTGGTTGTTTTTTTTTTACTGATGTGTATTGTTTTCTTTTCCAAATACACAACAAATTACTGATACTGATATGTTCTGCTTTAAATTTTTCTGTACATAAAACATGAAAATCATGAAACTTCGAGTTGAAAAAGTGCAAAACATGTCGCGAATGGTGTTACGGTAACTTGCATAATTTTGCTTTTTTTCCCCATAATTTGGCCTACTAAATTTGCATTATAATTCTACGGGGACAGGTGTAGGCCTAGCCATCGTGTGCGTGTAGGCCTAGGCCCCCAGTAATCGGGAGGTCTAGGCCTAGTACGGTACTAGCCTATGGTGCGGTGGCCTTGGCCTAGGAGGTCTCGTGTGTGCTGTCACCAGTCACTGTCAGTCGCCAGTCATCATTGCAATGGTATCTGGTTCCCCTCATCGCTAGGCCTAATTTTTCTGTTTTAGAAGTATGCTTGCCAAGTTCTTATTTTCCGGGACCATTGGTCAAAATCCGTATTTCCGGGACAACAGCGATTTTTCAAGAAAATCCGTACAAAATACTGATGGCCCGGGACAGTGGACAGCTATGAATTGTTCATCAGTTTGTGAGAGCAAATGTGTATGTGTATGTTTGCATCTATGTATGTATATGTGTGTGTGTGTGTGTGTGCGTGTGTGTGAGGGTGTGTGTGTGTCTGTGTGTGAATATATGTATGTGAGAGTGTCTGTGTGTTATGTGTGTGTAGGGGGGGGAGGGTAATAAAATATTAAGCGCTCTCATTTAACATCGAAGTCAGTTGCGTGTGTGTGGTGTGTGTATTGTGTGTGTGTTTGTGTTTGCCAGTGTATGTGTGTGTGTGTGTGTGTGTGTGTGTGTGTGCGCGTGTGTATGTGTAAATGTGTGTTGGGGGAGCGGGGAGGGGCTATGATACAACATTGAGTACTCACATTGAAGTCACGTGCGGGATAATGTTGATACAGGCGACCTGTTTATTCTGGACCAGAGGCCTGACAGACAAAACAACAGTATTATTTAATGACAAAATAGCTTTCATACAGAACAACACAGATTCATCATACAAACAGTACATAGTCTTTGGGTCCTGCAGATTCTCATGCAGAAGTAGACCCTGTTCTTTCACCAATTGACTGTGCCTGCGATAGATCCCTAGAACATTTCAAACATCCTGGGATACTTAGCAGTTCAAGCTAACACAGTGCTGTCCACCTAACAGCAACCCAGATAAGAGCAGCCTCTGCCTTTCAATAACAGCAACCTACGCTTGTGTAACAGGATTATCCTTTATATATTAAGACTTCTGGTCATCGCTGTGTCCCCGATTGATGTTTCCGTCTTGAAAAATGTACAAAAAGTATGTCCACTTACTGATTATAACATGACATAGATTAGGCTTTAAAGAGCTGAAGTGCGTTTGTGGCAATTTCATGAAGCAAATGCGTACATCTCTGCAGTTCAGGGACAGTTACGAGCATGACATTGATGAATCAGCCCATTTACAATTACACTGTACTGTGTATAACAGGAACATGGTTAATGTCCCCACTTTGGGAATGGCCTTAAGACACTTCAGTCAGCAGCACCATCCCGAGGGGTTGATCAATATGGTTCACATTCGTTGGAAATTGAATAATCTTTAAAAAAATCACTTCTTTTAATCTATCTTCATTTGATACAAACGTGTTCAGATTGCGAACGAAGTGTTGCCTTTTTAATGGCATTCAGTATATTTATATATCTTACATATATATATATATATGAATGTGTTACTGTTACACTGTTACGACGTGGTGGAATCAGGCGCTGGTCAATTTTTGGGTATATATGGAGTTATTAATTGGTAGGGGCCGTTCAAATATAATCTTACGCCTCGTTCAAATATAATCTTACGCCTGGGACGGGGGGAAGAACATTTTACATAATAAAAAAACACATCAATTCAACATCACCAAGTAAAAATTGAAAATGATTCCATCTTATATCATTCAACCTCCCCCCCCCCCCCCCTCCCTCCAAAAAAAAAAATTCCCTCAGAAGACTTATTCAAGTTAATGATCCAGAACTATATCAAATAAAGAACTGCCTGAAAAAAATTATCGAACCAGTATTTGTAGCGGTGAGAAGGAAAAGGTGGAGCTGGATTGGACATGTCATTAGAATGGACCCAAATGCCACTCCCAGGATAGCCAGAGGAACAAAAAAAAGGAGGCCACCCGCCGGAGACCCGGCGAATGAGCTTTGAACAGGAGATGAAGTCCAAGGGATGGTCATGGGGACAGATCAAAAGATTGGCCTTAGACAGGGAGAGATAGTGTTCCACCGTATCAGCCTTATGGAGTGCGCAAGCACCGTGAAGATAACAGGAAGAAAATTTGTAGGCCTATAATAATTGTATAAAAAATTGATTGCTTTGATAAAGTTTATTGTTGAGGATATTCCCGATTCAGTCTTGTTTCAACTTGTCATAAAATACCCAACATTCCGATGATATTACTTTCAAATGTTTGAATTTGGCATTTGAGATGCTCCTGCTGGCATAAAACAGCTTCTTGGGAGTGACAATCAGTGCTGTAGACTGATTTCTTTTCTCTGGAAACTCTGACCATTCGTCCCCGAATCCAAGTTTATACATGTAGAGTGTTAGGCAGGTATTTCAGAGCCCTGATGTCAGTAACTGAAGCATCCCCAGCTGTCTTTCCTGGACGGATGCAAGTAAGGGTATTCACACCATCAAAATTTAAGAAATACTCCACAGAGTGTGGAAATGGCTTTCTTCGGGCTTCTTCAATTAATCGAACATAGTCGATTGGAAGGAAAATCTTCTTACTCTTTATTCGTCTTTCGATAACGTGGTGGACGTTATCCACCTCCATCATCGTGTGGTCCCTCTCAAGTATTTTCTGCTCTACTTCCTTGTCATGCATCACGGAGAACCTGGAAAGAGCAGCGGCTAATGTTTTGTTTCTGTTCTCAAAAGTACATCCATCGGAATAGATGATGTACCTATTAAAAGACAGATCAATTTCCAGGTAATCCACAATGCATGAAGTAAATTCTTGAGCAGACAAGCCCCCTTCCGCCTCGTGCCAGACATAGCATTAGACCACACGTGACTTTGAATCAAATATTGTGAAGTTATGGACACAGAGTCTGGTCCTATAGTATGTTGTCGATGATTTCAGCTTGGGGCAAAGCAAAACTGACTGTAGATCCACAGTAATGACCTTTGACGTGTCATTATTTTGGACCATTTCCTCATCTCCTGCCATCTCTTGCTGTGCCCTTTCTTTCTTCTGCCCATGAGCCAGATATGTCTTCATCGTCATTGCCTTCATCAGAGATCATACTGATCTTTGCGCGGTTTGAAAAGAAATATTCATTTTCTGTAATTCATCGTCAAGAATTGGACGAGAATGAGCCTCCATCTTCTTTTCTTTACATTTTGTTTCATAGAAACGAAATAGATCAGTCCTGCTCTGGAAAACTGCCTCTAAATATAGCTTGGAGCTTTTCTTTCGGCAATAGTGAAACTCCGTTTTAGGCAGACTTTCAAGGAAGGCTCGCAGATGTAATCGCGCATCAGAGTCAGATGCTGGTCTCCAAGAAGACTCATTCCCTGTTGATAAGCCATCACCTGGTCCTCCGCGATGGTGTCTCACATACCATTCCTTGAGTCCTATTGTGGACAAAAACGTCTGACAGCAGACCCTGAATCTGCCTCTACTGGTTTTCAGAAAATACTGCAGGGACTTAGTCCTACAGGATGCTGCAGACGCTGCTTTTCTCCGTTTGGCTGGCACCTCGCATACATGTCCATGCAAAAATACACCATTCTTTGGCCAGGGCAGCGACAATAAGAAATGAAATATTTCCTACCTCTCTTCTTCTGTGATATTCGAACACTGATTACACTTGACCTTGCAAGAGCATTGTTCCCCCAAAGTTCTTCCATCCTTTTCAACGTTCTCAAACCCTGTATCACCTTCCTTCATAAGATTGCCCCGCTTCACGTTTCTTGAGTTCACAAATCTCTCCCAGTTTTCACTTCCAAGCTTTCTCTTCTTTCCTTTGATTATTCTCACATTATCGCTGTCGTTTCCATAACCACATGATTGATCAACAAGAGCCTCACCTTTATCAACACGTATATTGGAATCAACCTGTTCGCCTCTCTGGTCAGTGACATTCAAATCCAAATCTTCATACATGTTGGAATCAACAATTTCACCTATAGGATCAGTGACATTTAACAACTCAAAAGCTTTAATTCTACCATCATTCATATTGGAATAAAAAAAACTTCATCTCCACTGTCATATGCATTCGCATTATGATTAAGAACATTTTCCCTGCTGCAATCAGCATTCACAAAAAAAGACCCATATCTAACATCACGCACATTCACATCATGAGCCTTATATCTCTAGCATCACATATTTTCACATCAAGAAACTTTAGAGACTTACAGGGACGATATGTACTTTGTTCTTTCATTATCTCTTGTTTTGGTGACAACTTCAGAATTATACTCCCTGAAATTGAGATTACATCTTGTTTATTACCAGGTACTTTGTAATTTTGTAGCTGTCATCTTCAATTTTCAATGGTCAGTACATGTAGTACAATGGATAAAGTCAACATTGCTCAAAGTCAACATTTTTTTTCTGTCCGTGGCGTTGACTTTATCAGAATTCCACAGTAACTTGTTGTTTTTTTAATTAAAGCGCTCTTGTCATAGACAAGAGTCTCAATTTTTTCCTTTTTATTAGTAAGAAAGTGTGTGTACACAATATTTTCCTTGAATGATTTACTTTCATTGTGAGGCAGCGTGGTGAAATCAGGCTCTCGTCAAAATAATGAAAGTGAAAAAATATGGCATTTTTCCGCAGGTTTGGGAACTTTATTGAACTTTTTTTTCGCGCTAAACACCTTTTACGTCCATACTGAAAAACGTTCATTACATGTACAAAATTTGTGATTTTTCTGTTTTAAAGGCTCTCAAGCTATTGAAGTTATCAAAGTTTGGCGGCCGTTTTCTCACTAAATTTACCTCTGAAATCAGGTGACCCCACCTCTTTCAATCACAATTATTTCGACTTCTATTCAGCATAGATGAATATTGTTTTCATCAAAAGGAAGGCAAATGGACAGGCTTTAAGATAATATCAATAACTCTGTATGCCTCAAAATCAAAACTGACGAGCGCTTCGTACCACCATGTCGTGACATTTATTATTTTTTAGCGCATATATTATGTGCATGTATGCGTGTATGCATGTTTTTCATGAATATTATGCAATGCGCATAGAGCAATGATTGTTTTACAGATTTTCGCGATACAAATGTTATATTATTTTTATCAATAGGCTATATAAGTGAACAATGTAATATTACGGGGGGAGGGGTAAGGGCAAATGTAAGAAAAGTGTAAGAAAGGGGGGGGGGTCAAAATGTCCCCAAAAAGGTGTAAGATTATATTTGAACAGCCCCGTACCATTGTCAAGCTTGTTCATTTGTCTTGCATGTGATAAAAAGAATTACCCATTATATTTTGAATAGAAGTCTAGATATTTGCAATTGAAGGAGGTGTGGGTCGCCCATAGAGTTACCCCCTTTTAAACTAGAGTCCACACGAGGTCACTTGACACGGAAACGTTTGAGTTTCTTGGCGGCCATTTTTTGTGGTTTGTTTATTAAATATATATATGTCAGTGGGCGTGTCTCTGCTCTTACGTGTTTTATTTGATTCTAACGTTGTGTTTCAATCCAAAATGATTCTCCTAAAGGGGCAAGCATGTGAAACCTCTAGTCCCTTTCATACTCAAATGTGCTTTCTAATCACAGCTCCAAGGGGCTGTGTATATAACGTATACTCGATTGGACCCAATAAGACGTTATTCCAGAAAGGGACTAGAGGTTTGTACAACTGTGTATCATCTGCGTAGATCTACATTTTTATTATTATGGTTATTATTATTATAATTATTATTGCTACAGCCTTAGAGACTTTCTTTACAATAAAACGAGACCAGAAAGGATGGGGCAACACTGCTACGTTTATCAGTGTACTAACAGAGCCTTCTTTCTACAATCCCAAGGTCATATATTCTTTCTACAATCCCAAGGTCACAATCTCCAATCTCATACAATCCCACGACCTCCCACTGTGGACTGGTTGGGGCGACCTACTTGGCCAGAGTCTTGGCAGTCTCCATGTCAGGAACCATCACGTACACGATGGACAAAGAGCCCGAGGAATAGGCCCGTGCTGCTCCTTCAGCCATTTTCACCTGTGCAACACGACGTAGAAAAGAGAGCAATGCTGGCATGTAGAAATCAGCTCCAATGACCTGAAAGATAAAGTGAAAGTAAGAAAAGGAGAAAAGGAGAAAAGGATTTTTGATCGAAATCGAAGACAGACCTAGAGGAACCTGGAGAAGAATCACAGAAATCGATGTACAGAAAAGTGGGAAGACATGGAATAACATCAAGAGGCTAGCCCAGGATAGAGAAAGGTGGAAGGTGTTTGTCCATGGCCTATACCCGGGTGCAGGGTGAGAAATGCAATGATGATGATGACGATGATTGATATTAACTGCTCAACCCCGATTCATCATATTTATTATTGCCTTTATTAATCACTGAAGTATGTGTGTGTGTGTGTGTGTGTGTGTGGGTGTGTGTGTGAGTGTGAGTGAGAGAGAGAGAGCGAGAGATGGCGAAATGGGAGGTAAGCAAGCATTCACTAACGGCAAAATTAAAATGGATAACTACCATAATACAGTGGAGTCCACTTGAATTATAAGTTAAAACGAGTCCTGAAGTAACGAAAGTCTTTTATAGAGACATAATTCTTAAACCCATTTATTTTCCTTCTTTATCTCTGTATTATAAAATACTGCTGTAGCGCAATCAGATAAACGCGTGAGTCGGTTATAAATAGCGGAATATTGTTGCTGCTGTGCACACCGCATAGGCCATTTAGATATGAAAACCTCGCCAGTTGAGAAACTTGTTGGTGATCAAAAGAAATAAAGAATGCCAGAGCAAATGATTGGGGAGGGTGTGGCACGCGCAGACAAGCCCTTGTGAAGCAGAACGCATTGCCTGATAGTGATAGGCCAGCCTAGTCTAGATTATCTAGGCCTAACATGCCTCTCACTTCTCCAATGCGAGGATAGAGAGGTCATACTCACAGTGCTGTGACGGATGGAGCAAATGTGTGAGGTGCGCATGCAGACGCGAGAACGCACCACAGGGTGCGGTGGGGTGGGGGACAACACAGCGGGCGAGTTAGCCTAGAGAACTTTCTTTCTGATAGCCAACGCCGAGCTGTCAACAACGCTAACGCTAGACAAAGAAACCTGATTCAATTTTTGATCAAGAAAGACCTAGAGGTCATGTTGAACAAAGCCATCATCAGAGGAGATAACAAAAAGAAATAAACAGAACACCAAACTCATAGATTAGGCCTACTTTATTATTTCCTTTGAATTTATTACTGGATCCCTTACAACGAGAATCCTGCTATAACGGACATTTCGTACCGGTTCCCTCCCTCTCGTTATAACAGGATTCCACTGTATAACTCGCCCTCTCACTGCACCTGACTATGAGTATGTTGCATCCCTGAGAATTGTAAAACCATTTGATGAGTATATATATGAATTTTGAAGCTTCTTACTTGTTCTATTTCATGTTTGTTCCATCTCGTTTCAGATGTCTAAAATGAGAATGTCGAATAGTGTTGATTAAAATCAAAACTTCTTTAGTCATCATTCTTTCTTTGTCATCCATTCTCACGACAATTCAATCAACACAATTTAAAAACCTCATCTGGATCTGGAACTGTAAGCATGGAGAGATTCGTTTTTAGGAAGTTTAGTATGGCGTTTTTATGTGTTAGGGCTGCGTGTCCGATCTCTTCTGGAGAGGTCCGAAGGAATTCGCGGTCCCGGTTAGGGTTTAATGTTGTGCAGTTTGTTATTAGTTTGTTTTTTCCAGTGGCTCTCCCACAGACTGGAGGAGTACTTTTTAACTTTATTTTTAAAGTCAGTCTGTGGGAGAGTGTTCGTCGTTGATCCCAACAGAAGGGATAAGGATTTCTTCGCCAGGTCATCTACCTGTTCGTTTCCTCGGATGCTCACATGGCTAGGTATCCATGCGAACACGATATTTTTCCCTGTTTCAGTTAAGGTGTGTATTTCCTGTTGTAGTCTACCTATTTTTGGGAGTAGGAGTGTGTGTAGTTTGAGAGTGAGGTGATGCAAGACAGAGAGTCAGAAAGGATAAGGAAAGGTTTGTTGGGAGAATTTTTTACGGAGTCCAGTGCCATGTCATTGGCAGTGGCCTCCGCAGAGAAAATGGAGGCATCAGGATGAAGTCTCCTCTGGTGTGTACTGTTTGAAGATAGGGCTGCGGCTCCCACATCATTGTCTTTTTTGGAGCCATATCTGTGAAGATTTAAAGCTCCGCACCGGGGTATTTTTCTATAAGTTTTTTGTATTCTGCTTTAAATGTTTTGGTGTTTGTGCTTGCTTTGTTGTGTGTGGTCAGCTGTAAGTCTACTTTTGCCTTGGTGAGGTGCCACGGAGGGAGGTCGGGGAAAAAAAAGTGTTGGATGTCTTGTTTGGAAAAGTTTATGTTTTTGAGGTTCTCAAGGATTCTGAGGCCGAAGGGTTTGATGAGTTTTTCATTGTTTTGGAATTTGTTTATGGTTTCTGGATTTGTTTTAAAAATGCAGTCAAGTGCTGGGTTCTCTAGTGTTGAGCTCTGTTTAATTGCGTACTGTAGTGAGAGTTGTGTGTGTCTGAGAGTGAGGGATGGTAAGTTTGCCTCAGCCTGGAGACTCTCCACACTTCTATATTATTATGTTATTAAGTTATAATGTGTCACGACGCGGTGGAATAATCTCCCCGCTTTTCCCCATACTAGGCCTATGGTGTTTTGCAAAATCAGGATTGAAATTTTCTTGAGAACAATTGATTTGCACAAGTTTTAGTAGCCATACATCACACACGTGTGATCTGCAGAGCAAAAATGACTATACTAGACTGCAGTTTGACCCTCAAAACAGTGCATGTGTATGTGGGAGGGAAAGTAAAAAGTTACCTTATTATGAGCAGCGAAGAAAAACAAAGAGAATGGCGACTGAATTTATCTAGATATGTATGTACCATAGTCTCCGCCTAAGAATAGATCCTAGTGCTCGGGAGCAAAGAAAACGTGGGATCATAGGCAAACGGGATCTTAGCCGATGCACCACGAGCAGAATCTACGGTGACCCATGTTCAGGCACACACCAGTGAAATGGTCTCCCTTCATTCTAAAAAGAACTGACGTGGCCCCTGTGTGGACTATGACTTACGGCGAGCAAAGACTTCAAAGAGTGATCAACCTTGATGACCAATCACAGTGAATTGAGGCATGCCATTCTCACTTATAATTATTGTATCGCGAGTCTCAAGATGTACGCTTCAGTTGCCCGTCCCATTTGCCTTTACCTGTCCAAAATGTACAGCTTTCAATTTCTGAATGAGTTCCCCCGCCTCTGTTGTTACACACCATACATTGTGACCACAACAGGGCCTGTCCTGTGTAGAACAATTAAAATTCAGTGTGTCTTGCAAACTCGAAAATAGAGACAACTGCTGCAATGATTCACCACAGTCCGATGTGACTGAATAAATAGATCCCAACAGGAGCGACCTGCCCTACCCATCTAGATCTAGATCTAACGTGTGATGTAAGTTTAGGAGGAGAGTTCAATTTATGCAAGTGCAATTTTTGGAGAAAACAAATGCGTCAGCGAGTTCACACCTCGGTAAGATCCCTTCTGGGGCAAACTTTGTATCGTTTGATCGTGATTTACAAAGCATTTAGATCTAGATCCTATTGTGACCATATTTACGAGAATGGTTGATCTGTGACACAACCGGGTAGTTCAATGATCGCAAATTTTCACTCTTGATTGATCAGCTGTGTTTTTGTTCTGTAAATTAAGGGGGACTCTTCGGGGGTTCTAGAAGTTGTCCTGGCATACAACTCCATAGACATTTATAGCCCCTACATTATGTACACAATCGGAAACAAAACCTGAAGTTGCCTTTAAAAAAGGGGGGGTCTCCCCCCTGCAAAATTAACAAAATAATGGTTTGCGGAAGTTTTTAGTGCCAAAATTGTTCCCAGCACACTAAAAAAACCCATTAGAATTCAGAATAGTGCCGAAAATAGATCTAGATCTATCTAGAATCTAGATCTAGTCTCAAATAGGTTGGGCAGGTAACTCAGTTCAGTTTTTTCACTCGACTTCCGTTTTTGTTTCCGATTTTGAGTATAAATGTCTATTACGTTAGGCCTGGACTTCTCCCGAAGAGAGCCAATTATTAAGGTCTGAAATGTGGGGTCTCAGCTGAACATAGAATCTATATTAGAGCTAATATCTAGATCTAGATCTAGTTCTAGACCTTAGAGTGAATCAGAGCAATATATCTTGTCTTTAAAGTTGAAAGGCAGGCTCTATTTGCAACGCCGCATTCTGAGAATAGGTCCCGTGCTATTTGAAACGCTGTGTTCTGAGAATAGGTCCCGTGCTATTTGAAACGCTGTGTTCTGAATAGCTCCCAGGTTATTTGAAACGCCAGTAGGGGCCTACAAGAATCTAGATCTAGATCTAGATCTAGTAGCCATCGTTTCTACAAAAATAGCCTCTATAGTAGTTCTGCCTGAATAGTGGAAGCTTTCTATATCCTTGATAAACCTCCTAGGATTGGACTCCCTTTTTTTATGACGTTGTCTTATTCCGCTATATTGGGCAGATCTAGATCTAGATCTAGATTAGATATCTAACAATTGTTTAGACTGACAGTTTGCACAATAAGTAGACTAGACATAGTCTTGTTCATCTCTCATATATCATAAACATTTGAGTTTGAATTTGAGCAAGTAAGTCGAATTAAGACGCTTGGATCAGTAACACGGTGCAACTCGGTATAAGCAGTATTTCCTGTTTGCAGTATCGTCATACAATAGATCTACCTAAAAATATTAGGCCTCTATATCTTTTTAAACTTTAAGTTAGAAGGCCTAGAGAACGTAGGCCTCTATACAAGCTGTCTACGTTCTCTAAGTCTAATGTTCAGTGCATTACGGGAAAAATTTGTTGGTCAATTGAGACGAGGACAAAAATTTTTTTTTTTTTAAATCCAGTGCCGGGGTCGAACCCACGCTCATAAAATAATGATTTGGCTTCAAATGCAGATGCGCTGTCCCTTCGGCCATCAGAACTTCCAACAACGAAAGGTAGATTAGCTTCATGATATAACACATATATGGCGTTTTATTTAGCATT